GGGGGGAGGAGGGAAAAGTGACATCTCCCCAGTCACTAAATTTTGCCACTTGCATCCACCAGCTAAACATTTTCCTGGATAAGAAGAAAAAAACAAACAGCAACTCAGATCCACCCACTGACACGCCCCCCCCAAAAGGGACACTCTACCCTCACTGGTATCCTGAGAAGCCCTAGAAAGGAGCAGGTCTGTGCTGGCCCTCAAGAACATCATAGACTTGCTGCAATTGCCAGGGCTCTTCCAAAGGCATCTTGGGAAATGTAGTTCAGGGAAGAGGATGCAAGGGCAGAAACGCATTCCAAAGAGGCATGATTTCTAGGGGTTCCTGCAGGGACCCTGTCACAGGCACAGCCTTCGGCAAGACATACCAAGAGCAAAGTGGGATGACACTCGAGGCCTCCCCCCCACCCCCTGCTCTGATGATATGACCTCGATGTCCACCCACCATCAGTGCTCCGTCTAAGCTGTGGAGTCCTGTGAGCAGAAATTCTACTTTCTGAGCTACCGGCATTAAAGCTGTGAGCCAGCGATTGGGCTGCTGCATAAACAAGCCATCCTTCCTGAGCGAAGACAGAAATGCGTGAGCCGGAGGCTAAAAAACTGTGAGCTGGCTCACACTAGCTCAGCTTAGAGGGGACGCTGCCCACCACCCCCGCCTCCTTGCCACGGCCTCCGCCAGGCCCGAAATGCCCCCCGCAGCTGGCTTCTCGCCGGGCAGGCGGAGAGGCCCTCACCTTGCTCTCGAAGCCCGTCATGAACTTGAGATCCTTGGACTTCTGAAGCACTTTGGCTCGGTCGCCATCGGCAGCCGCCCTCACCACCTGGACGGGCAGGGGGGAAACAGTGTGTTGGTGTGGCGAAGCGCCCCCCCCCGACCCCAGCTCAGGGAGCCCAGGCCCCTCCAGTGGCCGATGGAGGACACTCCCAGAGGGGCAAGTCTGACAGCCCAGGTTTGGCTTCTGGCCAGCCAGGCCCCTCTGGTCCCAAACCGGCCGCTCCTTGGCCGGGGCTACTCGGAGACGCAGCCCCTTACCTCGATGTAGTGGTCCGTAAACTCCTTGCTGAAGCCTCGGCTGGCCCCAAAGTCCAGCAGGGCCACCTGAAAAGAGGCAGACGGGTTTGTGGAACGGACAGCAACGACTGGAGCCCACCACGGGAAGGGGACGTGGCCGCCCGCCCCCGCCCTCCCCGGAATCTCCAGGAAGGCACACCTTGTGTCTCTTGGCGTCGTAGAAGAAATTGGACCAGTTGGGGTCGGTCTGCATGAAGCGGAATTCAAAGAGCTCCCGCAGGCAGAGGCGGAGGATGTGGGAGCAGATCTGGGGAGAAAAAGCCAGAGGAGGAGGAGGGAGAGGAGTTGGCCAGGGGCTGTGGGGGCAGGAACAGGACGGGTCCCCCCCACCCTCCTGCCCCCGAACATGGGGGTCCCACCAGTACTCCCTCTAAACTGTGAGGGTCTTGTGAGCTGCCGGCATTAAAGTGGTGAGAGAGCGATTGGGCTGCTGCAGAAATTAGTTCGCTCTCTGGAGCCGTCCTTCCTGAGCTGAGACAAAAAGGTGTGAGCCGGAGGCTGAAAAACTGGGAGCTAGCTCACACTGACTCAGCTCAGAGGGAACACTGCTCAGGACCAACGCTCCCTATCTAAACTGTGGAGTCTTGCGAACAAAAATTATACTTTTGTGAGCTGCCAGCATTAAAGTGGTGAGCGAGCGATTGGGCTGCTGCAGAAATTAGTTCGCTCTCTGGAGCCGTCCTTCCTGAGCTGAGACAAAAAGGTGTGAGCCGGAGGCTGAAAAACTGGGAGCTAGCTCACACTGACTCAGCTCAGAGGGAACACTGCTCAGGACCAACGCTCCCTTATCTAAACTGTGGAGTCTTGCGAACAAAAATTATACTTTTGTGAGCTGCTGGCATTAAAGTGGTGAGCGAGCGATTGGGCTGCTGCAGAAATTAGTTCGCTCTCTGGAGCCCTCCTTCCTGAGCTGAGACAAAAAGGTGTGAGCCGGAGGCTGAAAAACTGGGAGCTAGCTCACACTAAGTCAGCTTAGAGGGAACACTGGTTCCCACGCGAGCCACTGGTAAAAGCCCCCTTCCACGAACGCCACTGTCAGAGTGCAGGACAAGCAGTTCTATGAGCTCTCGCTGGGCGCCGCCATTCCCCTCTCACCTCGTTGCGGGTCTCCTGATCCAGGGCCTGGCACTGGTCCACAGGGACGCCGCCCACCAGCTCCATAGACAGGACTCTCTGCGTGGACAGCTCATCAACCACTTCCGGCACCTCAAAGAACGGGTCTCCCTCCAGCAGGCGCCTGAGAAAGAGGAGAGGAAGGCCTGCCGGGAGGAGGAAGGTCCTTTCCACACCCCCTGGGGATCTGCTGCCGCTGCCACTAGATAAGCCTGCCCCGAGTGAGACAGGAGCTACTCTCTGGGCATGCAGCCCGGGGGCAGCCTTGCGCTGGAAAACACTTGAGGGGGTAGAGGGGACTTCGAACGGAAGGGAAGGCCACTGACAAAATCCCTGCACTGGTGCTGAAGCTGTTCTGGCCCGCCTGGCTTTTCGTTCAGTTTTGGTTTCGGGACCAAGTGCCAGAGACACAAATGGAAAGGTTCTCCCGGACTCTAATCCGGGAGAACCGGGTTTGGTTCCCCCATTCCTCCTCCGTACCTGAACTTCCTGGCGCAATCGGCTTCCCGCAGGTAGTCGCATTCCCAGCCCAGCTCCTTCTGCAGCACCTGCAGGGCCTTGTCTGCAAAGAGGCCTGGGGGGGGGCGGGAGAGAGGCGTTGGGTGAGGACGGCCCCACCCACCACTCCCCCTCCACGCACGCGCGCACAGGACTGACGAGGAGGCACCAGACTCCACGTCCCCCTTCCCAAACCCATGCTCCCTCTAAGCTGAGGAGCCTTGTGAACAAAAAATTCAACTTTGTGAGCTACCGGAATTAAAGTTGTGAGCGAACCATTTGGCTGCTGCACAAATTAAGGTTCCTCTAGAGCCCCATCCTTCCTGAGCTGAGACAAAATTGTGTGAGCCGGAGGCTAAAAAACCGTGAGTGAGCTCACACTGACTCAGCTTAGAGGGGACACTGCCCCCTTCCCAGGTCCTTCAAGGCGATGTGGAAAGCTGGGCCTTCCCAGGCACAGGAGCTTTCTCGCTGGGACGCCCCCCCCCCCAACTCCTGCTTCCAGCATCTTCGAGCCTTTGCAACGCCCCCGTCTCTCCCCTCCTTCCCGGGGAGGGGGGGGGGAGGCCTCCCTGGCAGTCCGCTGCCCTGCCTCCCATGACCCCCAACGTCCCAGCCCCTCCTCTGCCACCACCACCCCCGCCTGCAGGGCACGCAGGCAACAGCCCCGCTCTTCTCCAGCCCCAGAGCGAGACGGTATCGACCCGGGCTGGCGTCTCCCCCCCACACACACCATTGCCCTGCCCGGGGCCCTGGCTCCAAGAGCACCTGGCCCGCCCTTCCAGGGGCCCCCTCCGCCCCAGCCCCCCCCCCCCCCAATCACCTCCCACCCCCCGGTGCACCTGCCCGATGGAGGCCGCCGCGAACGGAGTCTCCTCAAAGGAGGCCACTTTCTCCTGCCAGCCGCTGCCCAGCTCGCCCACCAGGACACCCTGCAAGGGGGGCGGGGTGTGTGTGTTAGAAGCAAAGGAAGTGTTGGCACGGCTGGGGCAACAGCAGCCACAACAAGCCCGTGGGGGCTGCCCCCCGTGGTGCGGGAAAACTGTCCCGGGGCAGCAAAGAGCAGGGGAGGCGGCTGCAACGGCCCAGCAGAGAATCCCCCCAGCACGGAGGCCCAATCCAGAGCCCACGAAAGACTCCTGCTTCGCCTCCTCTTCTCTCTCCTTCCTGACCCCATAAAGAAGAAAGCAGCGGAAGAGTGCATATGGCACAGTGGCTAGCATGTCTGGTCAGGACCGGCAAGACCTAAGTTCACTGGGTGACTGAGGATAAAAGAAGAAGCAGAAGAAGAGAGTGGATCTATACCCCATGGCCCTTCACTACCTGAAGGAGTCTCAGAGCGGCTGACAATCTCCTTTCCCTTCCCCTCCCCACAACAGACACCCCCTGGGAGGCAGGTGGGGCCGGGAGAGCTCTGTCTCAAGGACTGCTCCTGAGAGGACCACTCCTGAGAGAACTTGTGACTGACCCAACGTCACACTAGCAGCTGAATGTGTAGAAGTGGGAAATCAAATCTGATTCTCCCAGATTAGAGTCTGCGCTCCTAACTAGGGATGTGCATTTCGGGATCCCGAACCGAAAAAAAGCCGAAAATAACGTTTTTCGGCTTTTTTCGGCTTTTGCAATCCCGAAATGGCTTCCTATGCGTTTTTCCGAATCCCGAAAAAAAAATCCCGAAAAAATTCGGGTCCATTATAACCAATGGGGCCATTGAAGTCAATGGCAAAAAACCTCTTGAAACTTTGCGGGGGCTGGGGGGGAG